GGGTGGCAGATTCTGATCAGCTCTGCAGCTCGCGGATGCCGGGGATCACGTTCTGAAAACAAGCTGTGCCCACTTCCTACAGGCAGGGGCTGGCAGGGCGGGGATGAGAGAGGATGAAAGGGGAGCTGTGGGGTGGGGGGGCTCCTCCTTTGAACACGACCCCGTGGGTGCCACACCTGCAGGCTGCTTTCCCCTCACCACCCCAGAGAGAAAGGGAGGGGACCACCAGGGTTGCTTCCAGAGCCCTCCACTTAGGGTCGTTTATGACCCATGACAAGACCGGCAGGGAGACACCACAATGTTCTCCTCTCAGAGGAGAGACCGGGAACTCACAGAGATCCTGGAGTGCGCCCAGGGTCATGCAACCAGTAAACGGCTGGGCCACGTTGCGTGGCCACTCAGGCCAGCCTCACAGTGATCTCCAGGGTGTGGTTCTTTAAAACCATAATTTATGGGGCCATCCTGTGGTCTGGTGGTCCAGTGGACTGGATATCACATAACCAACTGTGTGGTTCAAGTCCCAGACCAGGCAACTTGAGAAATAAGCTGGGCTTGTGTGTGAGCCCCAAATCCCCAAAGCAAGGAGAGATCGAGGGGAAGGAACTGTGACATGACCGTGCCCCAGTGTGGGCGGTTTCTCATTTCCCTTCTCTCTCTCTCTCTTTGCGTCTCTCCAGTGAGCACATGGACCCTCTGGTAAATTTTAAAAATAATAACAATAATTTATGAATAAATCTCTCATTTATAGATAGTTAATTCCTTTTTTAATTTTTCCTATAACAATGCACAGAGATGTTTTAAAAAGGGTTGTTTCTTTATCCTACCTTAATTTTTTCCCCTGGCTACAAACGTAGTACATGATTGTAAAAATTCTCACAACACAAAGCAGAAATAGAAATTCCCCAAAATAACTACCATGAACATCTTTGAGTAAGTCCTGATAGAACTTTTTTTTACACATATACAAACAAACATACAAGAGGCCTTGATACAGCAGTAGCAAAAAAAGACCAACTTTGCAGAATAACATCAAAAGGGCCAATTTTCTATATTTTACATCATATGTATTAGTCTATAAGATTTTAATTTTATGTTTTTAAAAAAATGCAGAAAAAAGAACAAGATACTTTTGAATACCAGTTGTACACATTTCTATAATATTATATACTTGAATTTAAAAAAATCTTATCAGGGTTAGCAGGTGGCATGGTGGTTAAGGCTGTGGACTTCCCATGGTCTACCATGGTTTGAGTCCTGGACTTGGCAGCCTGAAAAATCATGCCAGGCATGTGTGCATGCCTACCCCAAATCTGGAGAGAATGGAGGAGAAGGAATTGCTGCATGGCCATCCCCCCTGGAGGGTGATGTCTCACTTTCCCTCTCTCTGTCTCTTTCTGGCAAGCACATGCTTCCTATGGCCAAAATGCTTTTTAAAAAGAAAAATTAATTAATTTGATTTATTCATTCATTTATTTTAATTTGACCAGACACACACACACACACACAGAGAGAGAGAGAGAGAGAGAGAGAGAGAGACAGAGAGAGGGAGAGAGGGAAAGCGAGAAGTAAGCCACCAGGTCTGGGATTCAAACCATGGTTGGCCATGTGGGAGTGTCCAGCACCTTAACCACCACACTACCTGCTGGTCCCCGGAAAAAAAGCTTTTCAAAAATCTCTTTATTGAAGGATAATTTGTATCTCTATGTTCACCCATATCCATACCTACATAGTAAAGTGGACATAATATGCGTGTGCAGCTCAACAACTTTTCACAAACCAAACACAGCCGTGTGGGGAACTTTCAGGCGGAAAAGCAGGACACACTGACCCTCAAACCTCATGCTTTCTTCTAATGATTACCCCTGCGTGGAGGGTAACTGCATCTGACTTCTTCTTTTTCCTTTGCGAGTGAAAAACAGAGAGACATGGAAAGGGAGAGACACAGATATTTTTGAGAGTCTCTCTGTGATGTGATCCTGTGTCCCTGGCTCTCAATGGTCTCTATGGTGTGGCTTTTTAAAAGCCATAGTTAGCGGGGACTACAGGTACATGCAACTGAGCCCTCCATGAAGGCTCAGGAGCTGAACCCAGGCCGACCACATGGCTTCCAGTCTCTCGTGTGGTGATGGTACTGGTATGCCATCGTGGCTGGGCCCATGTTCTGACGTCTACTGATGTATTTGTTTTGCCTGTTTTCATCTGTGCTTGAGGTTTTTACTGTTTAATTTTTCCAGAGGGTGTGTGCACTCAATGAGGAGAAAGAGAGAGAGAGAGAGAGAGAGGAAAGAGAGAGAGAGAAGAGAGAGCACCCCCATGGGGCATGATCACAGCACAATCTCGTCTCCTCCATATCTCCCTCCTTTCGCGGTTTTTGGGCATGGACACACATGTGCCCAGCTTATTTTTCAAGCCACTGCATCTGGGACTCAAACTATGCAGTTGGCCACATGAAATCCAGCCGTTGTAACCACCACGTGCTTAAATTTTAACAGTGACAGCGTGTTGTACCACGAATTGTGTTAAAACGAGAATAATCCATTCAGCTGTTAAAAGGTATGCTCATGTAGTGGCCCTCATCTGGTATCAGCATATATGGGTCCAGTTGTTCCTTGATGGCTGCATGGTGATTTATCTGACCGGCCCCTTTCGATGGACATTCGGATTGGTTCCAATTCGTGGCTGATAAGCAGCATGTCAAGGAACAATCTGCTGCATATTTCTTTGTGCACGTCACTTTCTGACACGCTTCTTTACGATAAATGCCTTCGAGTAAACTTGGGAGTCAAAAGATAGGCAGATTAAGATTTGGGGGAGCTAATTTGTTCTAATGGCCCTACAGAATGTCGTAAGCTCAGTTCTTCTTCAAAACAAAAAAGTCAGGTGCTGGGTGCCGACCTCCTCACCGCAGCCCCTGCCACTGTCAGCCCACCCTGCTCCGGCTCCCTGGGAGGCCAGAGCTGAGCCTGCCTCCGCAGGTGCCTGCTGCTCAGAGCACAAACCACCACCGCTGCCCCTCACCCAGCCAAGCCCGTGTGCACTTGCAAACAAATACATGCAGTCGGCAGGGAGACGAGGCAGATACCAGAGCGGCAGTGGGATGAAGTCTTGAGGCCTGTTCTTCCTTCCTTTGCGGACTGGGTGTGAGCCTTCAGGAAGGGCAGACTGTAGGCAGTCTGGGTCTGTCTCTTTCCACTTACCTGGGATGACCTGGCCACGGTGGCCAGATTAACGACAAACTGGTCTAGCCCACCCGGACCGTTTTCACCCCTCCCCTCAGCCTTGGAAGGAAGCCATCGCCGTCCTCAGAGTGATGGGCAGAACGCTTTGGCTTTTCCCGAGCATCTGCATCTATGCGCTCCCTCCCACCACACCAAGATCTGCTGCAGCTGCATCGCAGATGCGGGAGAGGACCCACTGCCCCCTCCCCGATTGGTCTTTCCTGTTTTCTGTAACACTGTTCACATTCTGCGGCTGCCAGAGGCCACCCAGTGCAGCCGTGTTTCCAATGCCCTCTTTGTTTTTTTCTAAGTTTTTAGAGAGAAAAAGTGAGAAATCACCCCGGAGGGGGGAAGGTCACGCTCTAATCCCTCCTCCATCCTCCTCTCAGAACACAGACCTGGCCTTAAGTTTCAAGTCACTGGGTCTGGGACTCGAACTGCAGTCGGGCATGTGGGAGACCAGCCCCTTAGGCATGACGGACCTTCTGGCCCCTCCAGTACCCTTGTTTGAGCTGGTCAGGGGGAGCAGAGGGCACTGAGCCTCCTCGGACCTTGGCAAGGTGCTCCTGTCAATGCAACCTCAGGTCGCATTCTTTTTTTGGCTCCGCAGCTCCCAGGCTGCTAAAGCCAACGGTAGGACAGGATGAAACCTAAGGACTTTTTTGAAAAAAAGGTCCTCCTATCACCCCTACTCCCGCTCAGCGTTTCCTCCTCGCAGTTTCCTTTTTGACCATCAAGGCTGAGAGATGATAAAAAAACTAGCTGAACAGAGACCTCGTGTGTCTTACCTTCTCTTTGGCGGAGTCCCCAGGGTTTGACCCACAATGGAAATGAATGCGCATTACTGAGGGCAGCCTGGGAGTGGGCCAGGTGACCCAGGCGCCCGCAGCCTGGCTCTGCAAGTCCCAGGCCCTCCTTCCCCTCCCCCAGCCTCATTCATTTGTGGGCGGATGAAGATCTTGGGGTGCAGGAGGAGTACCAGATTCACCCTGTCCTCTCACCCCACGGAGCATCGGCATCTGCGGCAATGAGCCTTGGTGCGTTTATGTCACAAGAGTCACCTGCTGCTTTAACCCAGAACTTTATTTTTACAACCAAGACATTCTCATAAAAAACAACAGAAAGTGAGAGAAGAAATATCCACCCCATGGAGAGTAGACGTGAAAGCTGACACACTTCTTAACGGAGGATGAAGGGAACGTCTATTTGCAGCCCCACCAATTCCCAGCCCCAACGAGGGTCTCAGAGATGAACATGGCTGCTGGGAGCCAGGCAATCCCTCGGGAAGCCTCATTCCCAAGCTGGGTCTGGCCTCTTTCTGGGAGGAATGTCAGCTCTAGCCCAGGAAGACCAATGGGGAGATATTCCGGGATCATCCCATGAGTGATCCCAAACCAGTGTCCCCGCCCGATCATCGCACAGCCGTGGGCAGAGACGGTGACCTGACAGCCCCCACCTGAGGGTCCAGCCAAGGAGCGCACAGGCACCGGAAGTGGGGTGTGGGCATTTCCTATGGCACACACCGCAGAGTGCCCTGAGGGCCCTGACGCCTTCTCTCCAAGGTTCCAGTGATGAGGAACAGGTGGCTCCCTTCCTGAGGCCCACAGAAAGCACTTGCAGCAGTTAAAAGCAGGCAGCTTCAGCGGGTGAGTGACGTTTTCGTGGTTGCATGAGTCCCTTCTCTTCCATATTTCCAGGTCTGGCTCCTTCCTGACCAATGTCTTTTGTAACAGGACACCACGATGTGTTTTCTGCTCATTTGTAAAACCTGAAAGCAACAGCACGTTGTGAAACCGTGTGTTTCCAGAAAAAGAAGACTGAGTTTCCTGTAACTAAGACAAATGGCAAATGAGGATGGGGGGGTCTACTCCAAGTAGCCTGGGGCCAACAGTTTGGGAGTTGTGTGTTTTTAGGGCCCATCTCAGTTGTTTAAAAAAATGTAAAAAAAAGAAAAAAAGAAAGAAAAAAAAAGTGCAGCCGAAGAACTCTAGCTTTGAACAGTGTTACTTCCTGCGGCTCTGGCTAAGATAAGCTGTTCACAAACGCCTCTCAAGGGGCCAGAGAAACCGGCCTGCTGCTGACAGGGACAGTTTTATAAGGGCAGTTAGAGGTTGGGGAGCATTCACTGCAAATTGCAGCTGGAGTCTGGAACAGCTGCTCCGCGTGGGCTCCTGCATCCGCACCTGGACCATGATAGAAGAACCAGGGGGTGGTATTCGAACTTTGTCAAAGCCACAAACCCTTTCCTTTGAATGGCATCTTGCTGGTTAGAGGGTGAGGGGGCGTCAGGGACCCCCATGGCCACCAAGCCCACTCCCTGCCCTGGCAGATCCTCTGAACCCTGAGGTCCCACACGGGCTTCAGATCACTGGGGAACCAGTAAGAACAAAGGGGTGGATGAGGACAGGCCACAGGCAGGTCCCACAGCAGGGCTTGTTCTCCCCAGAAGGTCACCACAGGGGAGATTGTGACCAGAAGGTCCAGCCTTAGATGGATACAGTTACTGTTTCTTAGGTCAGGGGTGGTTTCTAAATCTAATGCCTAAGGTCAAAATTGCACACAATCTAAATGACCATTAAAAATGGCCAATGTATCAATAAAACACAGCAGGCATGTTTAAGAAATCCACATCTAAATAAAACATGCATAATAAGGTGTAGCTAAAGTAAATGAAAGTGTATATGGAAATTTTAATTTGAGAGTATTTAAAAATACATTTTGTTCCTCGGTGGTTGGACTTGTAGAGTTGAATTGATGTAAGTTCTGTGGGATTTCAACTTTGTGGAACTGGGTGCCCAGCACGTGGTGGGAGTTACCCCACAGGTCCTCACAACAGCCATGAGGTCGGCGCAGTGAGCCCACTGTACAGACCAAAGGTCGGAGGCTCAGTGAGGTGAAGGGGCTCGCCCTCAGGGACATGGATGGTGAGCGGCAGACTGGATTCAGATCTGCCTCCCCTGTGCCAGAACACGAGAGCAAGGGCCTGTTACCCTCATCGACCTCCTGGCACCCCCACCCTGCATTTCTATATGGAGGGGGCTGTCCTGAGTATTAAATGTAACTAATCAGGTGGGCAGATGTGAAACAGTCTATTTGAAGAAAAATCAAATCTAAGAACTCTGCCTATGGCCCAGGGTGGTGTCCTAGCCCTGGAGGCTGAGGGCAGGCGACAGCATTTGAAGAAAAATCAAATCTAAGAACTCTGCCCATGGCCCAGGGTGGGGTCCTAGGGCAGGCGACAGCTTCAGGCCGCTCACAGCCCCTGGCTGCTGCCTGTGCTCCCGAGGCTCAGGCTTAGCGAGCGCTCCTTAGGCCTGTGCTAGGAGACTCTGCTCCTGGGACTCAGCTGGGTGGAGGGTGTGTGTGACCAAGACAGCTCCTGGGGAAGGGAGCCGCGCTGTGGGGAAGGCTGACCTGTCTTCACCTCTGATCCCAGCAGTCTCTCCACCGGTCTGTAAGATGGGCAGAACCCCCTCCTACCTCACGCAGGACCAGTGGGATAAAATAACAGGTGGAAGAGTGCGGGGTCCCCCACAGTATTCTATGTCCCCGCTGCTGTCGTCAGGAGCGCTTGAAGCTAACTCTCACTGTACTAGAAATACGTTTAAGTGATTACTCAGTGCTTTTGTCTGTTATCTCTGTCCCTGAACGCTGTCACCCCATCTATTTATACACTCTGTGAGTTTTTGAAGACAACCTGACGTTGGCTCATAGCTGCTGCTGGAGGCTGGGAGCTGCAGCAGCGATGAGAGACCAGGGTCACACCCAGGGCAGTGTCACTGTTCCGAGGTCCCTGCGCACTTACTGTTTCATGAAGCGAAGCCGCGCTCTCCTCCGCAGGCCTGCAAGAGGAAAGCAGGGCACCCATCAGTGTGGGCTGCGGGCCACTGGTGCCAAGGCCCAGAGACCCACGGGGACAAACGAGGTGCAGTTAACACCACAGCCACTTCCCTGGTGCTGGGCTCTGCCTGGAACACCTCAGGCATTTAACCCTGCTCGTGTTCACTGCGAACCTATGAGTCGGGTACTGCTCTTTGTGTGTGTGTGGTTTTTTTTTTTCCCCCAAGAATTATTTTATTTATCTTCATCACTATTTTTCCAATTTGACCAGAGAGCAACATAGAGAGAGACAGAAAGTGAGAAAGCAAGCCACCAAGTCCAAGACTTGAACTGTGGTCGGCCATGTGGGAGTCTGGAGCCTTAACCACTAGACCACCTGCCGGCTCCTTGGGTACTGCTCTTATGGTCTCCATTTTACATATGGGGAAACAGGGGTGCAGAGTGAGCAAGTCACTGAGTAACTTGCCTAAAGTCATAGTTAGTAGGTAGTCAACTCAGCTAATCCACTCTGGAGTCTGTCCTCAAAGCCCCTCATGCCCCTTACAGCAGCTCAGATACCAGCAGCCCTGCAGGCAGGGGGTCTGGAACTAGAGTGTGTGTGCCCAGGGGACGAGCAAGGCCGGGGTACCCGACGGAACTCTGAGCATGTCTGTTTACGCTTTTATCTCACCCTTTGTTACTTTTGATTCATGAAGCCCATTCAATCATAGACGTGACTTTCAAGTTTTTTTTTTTTTACTGATGAGGTCCTTGATCAAAAAAAGTAGCAGATGAAGTGAACTTTAGTGGGGTTCTTGGAATAGGGTACGTGGACCCTTTGTGGGGCACAGTTACATGTGAATGTGTGCACGTGTCGGGGCATTTCTCTGGGGAGAGTGTCCATCATTGTCATACACTCGAGGGGTCTGTGACCTAGGAAAGTTGATAGTCACTGAGCCTGTCCTCTTGCTGCCCCCTCATATTTTAAATTATTATAGCTAATTTTTATTACAAAGGGTGCTTGCACTTGCCAGAAAGAGAGAGGGAACATCCTACCTTCCAATGGAGCAAGGTCACCCTGCAACCCCTTCCTCCATTTCTCCGTGTCATTGGGGTTTGGGGCACACATGCCTGGTGTGTTTTTCAAGCCACGAGCTGGGATCTGAACCACGGCTGGCCATGTGGGATCCAGTTCCCAGCGCGCAGTGCTTAACTACTGTGCTTGGGATGGGGCCAGCCCTGCTCTCACTGTATAAATGCCCAGAGGGGGGAAGTGACTCACTCGAGGGGGCATAGGTGAGTTGGACAGCTGAGCAAGCTCCCCGTCTTTATCATGAACCCAGGGCCCTGCAGAGTCGGGGAGAGCCCACGGACGGAGGGGATCCCATCTCCACAGTGCCCGGGAGCAGCAGCATCTCTGACTTGCCCTACGGCCTCACCAAGGGGGAGTATTTCCAGCATCTGTCTGGAAACGCAGCTCAAATCCCAGCAGCACTGGGCCTGGGTCCTAACTGCGCCCATAATTCCCACTTACTGAGCACGTGCCGTGAGCCTGCCACTCAGAGACTCAGAGAGGTCCCCGTCAGTGCCAAGGTCACTCGATCCGGGAGCAGCAGTGTTCTGTTGAAACCCAGGACTATCTGACTCCAAAGACAGAGTGATGTGTCTGATTTGGGCAGCGTGGCTGCAGGCCAAGGACAGCCCCTGAATGATGATACCATAGTTTCTGGGGTGAATTTCCACCAGGCTGCTGTCTGCTCTGCTCCCCAGACAGGGACGTACCCTCCCCACCCCCGACACATCAAACAGCAAACGGGGGCACCATGACGGCCCAAGAGGGGACAACTCACGGTATAGGTGGAGGGCCACACCCAGGGACACCAGCAGAACCAGCATACCGGCCACCAGCAGGCCAAGGGTGAGGGGACCACAAGGCATGCCTGGAGAAGACACACATGACACATGCTCAGCATCTGACATGCAAGCACAGGGAGGGGACACTCACCCCAGGTCCCAGAGACATTTCAGCGTATTTCCTTCTAGGGTTTTTTTTTTTTTTAATTGAGATAAACATCATTGAGATAATTTTATAAAATTATATATAGTTATATATACTGTTGAGATTATAGCTATATATTGATATAATTTTATACAATTTCATGCCCTATATCCAAAATTTAAAGAATAATGTAAACTCACTAGCTCTTTATGTTTGAAGGAGAGACACAGTTTTCATGCCCGATAGTGGGATTTTCAGTGTGGTTGAAAGTCCCTTGTCATCTTTGTTCTCAGAAATAGCACCATGGGTAATAAGCTACCTTTCTATATTCACTTGTACATACGTAATTTTCATAGACACATTTGAGGTTTGTAAAGAAACAGTGGACAGTGGATTATATTGTACAAATTATTCTGTAACTAGTTTCTTTTTTTAACCTAATCATGTCAGTATAATATTTTTCCCCAGAAGAATAACATATCATGTTTTATTTATTTACTTTTCTTTTTAAGCGCTGGGTCCAGGACTCAAACCATGAAGTCAATTACGTAGGATCCAGTTACCTTAACCTCCATGCCACTGGTTGGCCTTCCCGTGGCTTATGTGGCCACCAGTGAGCACCTGTGTTACACTGCAGAGACATCTGGTGTGCTGTCGTATTGAGGTGCCTTCCTAAGACAGATGTAAAAGTGGGCCTAGAAGCCGCAGACTTGGTCCATTTAAAATCGTAACAGGTATTGCCAAGCGCTTTCTCGACGGGCATCATTGATGCCGAGAAGCCACAGGCTTTGTCCATTTAAAATCGTAACGGATATTGCCAAGTGCTTTCCCGACGGGCATCACTGACTCCCAGTCCTATCTGCCAGTGCAGCACTCTGATGACTCTTTTTCTTTTAAAGAATTATTTATTTCATTTTATTTGTCATTATTATTATTTTTAAATTTGTTACATGGGATATGTGCTCACCAGGGAGAGACAGAGAGAAAGAGGGAAAGTGAGAAAAGCAAGCTGCCAGGTCCTAGACTCGAACCATGGTTGTCAAGTGGGAGTCCAGCGCCTTAACCACCATACCACCTGCCGGCCCCATGATTCTTGATATCATCAAAGTTTTTCAGTTTTATGCCATTCCAGTGGGAGGAAAAATAATATTTCACTTCAATTCCCTGGTTACTTGTGAGCTTTAGCTTCACATACTGGCTACTTATATGCCATCAATATTTAAACCGCAGAGTGTATATTACCAATGCCCTGAGTCCTTTTCTGACACCACTTGGCTGGCTCCTGTGAATAGTTGAGGGGCAGAGCCAGGGTCCATGGGTGAAAGAACAGGGCTGCAATTCTGAGCTCAAAGTTAACAAAATCAGAAAGAGTTTTGGATGTCAGGGTGAGAGAGAATTTCAATAGGATATCAGTTATGTACCAAGTAAAATATTAACTGCAAAAACTAGCATCTTTAAGGAAAGAGAGGCTTACCATTATTTTAATCTCCCGTTTTAATCTCACGAACCATGAGATGCAAAGACCTAACCTCCTTACACGCCCAAGATCACCCAGCCACCAAAGCGTAAGACGCAGGACCAGGGTGTGGACACAGGTCCTCTGAGTGCTAAAGCCCCTGCCAGGCCATTCTCAGCAGCGGGAGAGGCAGCCTGGTGGGGTGGCTCATGGTTTCGTCTATGGGTGGCAGCAGGTGGCACTTTCTGTTTGTCACCAGTAACTTTTGGGGGAGCTGAGGTCAGTATTTTTCCAGAAACACATTTGGGCTGATGGGTTCAAGGAAAGTGGGTGTGTGCGCACACTGGCACGTCCGAGTCCTGAGGTGGCAGGTGCCTACCGCACAGACAGTCAAGCTCGCTCGTTAATACACATCCAGTAAACATGTGCTGTGCGCTAGGGCCTCCATTAGGCATCAGAACTGGGAAGTCTAATGTGCTGGTCCTCTGGATTGGGTTCTTCGTTAACAGTTTTACTGAGATATAATCTATATACCGTAACATCCGCCTGTCCGAGTGTACAATTTAACGGTTTTTATAATGTTCATGGACTGGGGCAACCACCACCATCACCTAATTATTGTCCTCTTGAGATGAAACCCTGGACCCATTAGGAGTCACTCCCATTCCCCCTCGACTCTCCAGTCTTAACCCTCCAACCTGAACCCACCAACTGACTTTCTGTCTCTACGGAGTGTCACATTCTGAACACTTGGTGTCAGTGAAGTCAAACACTATGTGGGCTTTTGTGACTGACTTTCTGCACTGCCCAATGGTTCCAAGGTGTGTCCACGTGCTAGCAAGTATCGGAACATCGCTCTGTACGAAGTTCCACATTTCGGTAATGCATTGGCTAGCCGGTGGCTACTGGGCTGTTTCTACTTGGGCTACTGAGTAAGGCTGCTGGGGCATTTGCCTGCTCGTGTTTGGGTGACGTGTCCTTCGCTAAATTCTGTTCTGTGCTGACTTGTGAGCCAGACTCCACTAGACCGTGAGCTGCAAGGGGACGGCACTGCTGTCACAGTCAGTGTCCCTTCTGACCCCAGCGCAGGGCTATAAAAACAGGCTACAGAGTCAAAACTTGCAAGGTGCCTGCAGAAGGAAGGAAGGAAGGAAGGGAGGGAGGGAGGAAGGAAGGAAGGAAAGGAAAGGAGGGGTGAAGGAGAGAGGAAGAAAGGAAGAAATGGAGGGGTGAGGGAGTATGTCTGCCAATTTTCTTAGGGTATAGGAGGTGGAGAACTCACCCTTACGGGTCACTGGGTTGGAGATCCGGCACACTCTTTTCTTGGGGGTGGACTTCGTGGTGGGCTGGGCAGTGGTGGGAAGGACATCCACTAGAGAAGGAAGACAGATACGTGTCTTAGCAGGTGAGCAGCGGGTGCACTTACAGTCCGATTTGAGGCCGTGTGCCTCACCTGCAGGACTCCCCCCTAGGCTGCTACAGTACTTGAAACTCACAGAGCACGGGAATGTTTCATCTGCCTTCCCAGCTCTCAGATTTATCTAGGGCCTAGGGGTGGGAGCCAGCTTGGTGTCCTGCCGAGAAAGGACCTTGAAGCACACAGATCTGAGCACCCCTAAACAATCACGGTGTGGTGTGGACAAGCCATTAGCCCTTCCCCGGGCCTTGGTTTCCCCACTTGCTGAAATAGATAGCCCCACGTCCTTCTCAGGGTTGTTGTGAGAATCAAAAGGGACAGTGTGCCCAGCAAAGTGTGCAGCAGACATGTCTTCACCTGGCTGCAGGGCTTGAGCTGAAGCCAGGATCCCCAAGCCCTTGGCATGACCAGCTGTTTGGCCCACCCTAAGCAAGTGGCTGCAGCTCATAAAAAAGTGGGTGCCCTTTTCTGCATGAGAAATACCATGGGGGTTGCCTATTTGAGGATTTGCTTTCCTTCTCAGGCGCCCTTAAAAATCATAAACCATTGGAGCTACAGAGACCTTCATCTCAAACTTGAACAGCAACGGTGAATGCCAGCGACATAGATGGCTGGCCCGCGAGGCCCCACAGTGCCCTGCACTGAAGGGGTGGGACAGGGCAGTGCGACTAGCGCTCAGAGAGAAGGAAGACCCTCGGGACCTGGGGTGCTGAGGACGACGTGAGTACTGGCGACTGCGGAATCCGACCTGTGCCTTTGTGGGGGAGGACAGAGACTGCACTGAAATGATTTTCTGCAAAATGGTCGGAGAGGAGGAGGGAAACCAGGTGAACTTACGCTTGAGTGAGAGTCAAGGAGACACAGTTGAGTGAGAGTCAGGGAGGGGCAGCCAGCAGGCCACCCATTCACAGGCTGACATCTCCTGTAAGACCAGTGGGCCCGTGGGCTGCTCACCTCGGAGCCCCCTGGGAAGTGAGAACACCATCCACCTTGCCTGTGTTATGATGAATCTGGGAAGAGCCTGTTGCAGTTGGACCAAGTCTTTCAGTATAAGTTTACTCAACTCAACGACTTTTCTTCGTCCATTGCTAGGGTGTGCGTGTGCCCGTGAGAGAGGGAGGGAGAGAGAGAACTTCCAAATGAGGTATAGTCATGCTGTAATTCCTTTTCCTCCACTCTTCTCTCTTGTCAGGATTTTGGGCATTCATACACATGTACCCAGCATGCCCTTTGAGCTGTTGGGGCCAGGATTCAACTGGTCAACCATGTGAGATCTGTCTCCCTTAACCACCGAGCTGCGGGGTAGGTCAGGAATGGACTCATACATTAATTTCACTTTCCACGAACTTTTTGAAATTCCTTCAAACTTTCGATAAATTGGGTTAAGTAAACCATATTATTGGGTTGTCAGAAAAGTCATGATGTATTTTTCTGTGTTTTGTGTTTTTCTATGTAAAAATGGTTCATGACTTTTCTGGTGACCCAATACATACGTTCATTTTATTTTTAAAATGTGCCCTTAGACATTTAAAATTACTACAATATACCTCTACTGGATATAGCAAATTAATGCATGGAATTGCTGCTTCTCAAGGCTTAGGGGAGTCACAGAAGCCATCAGCAGGGCCGGAATACAGATCAGAAAATTGAGGCCCTTGGGCCAGCTGGTGGCGTGATGGTTAGGGCAGTTGGAGCCCACATGGCAGACTTGATCTTTGGGGTCACTGATCTCTTGTGAGAGCTCAAAGGATCAATAATGCCGATATTTATTGAAAAACACTCCTGGCATGTGTGTATGCATGTGCCCCAAATCCCAAGAGGAGAATGGAGGAGAAGGGACTGTGGTATGGCCACCTCCCGGAAGCCTGCTTTCTCACTTTCCCGTTCTCTCTCTCTCTGTGTCTTTAGGCAAGCACACACACCCCGTAGAAAAGTTAAAACAGACAACGAAAAGAAAAGAAAGCTGAAGCCCTCCTGAAAACTCTGGGTGCAGGTCGGAGCTGTCAGTCTCCACACAGAATATGGGGGCACCTGCTTTTCCTGTACCCCAGAAAAGCTCTCAGTGAGTATTTGGGGGGCATCAGGAACCTTTCTTTCCCTGTGGGCATGCTCTGGAGGGACTTCTGAGCCCACCATCAATCAGGCCTGGGGACTTGGCTCTGCCCAGCCACAAACTCAGATGAGCCTGATGTGGCCTGAAGCACAGCTCTGCCCTGTCCCCATAGAAAGCACAACAGCCATCTTGGGCTCTGACCCACCTCTGTCAGTCTCACTTGATTCTGTCATCTGATTCTAAAATGGGAACCCTAAAGTACATCCCAGGGCGGGGGGCAGCCCTGCGTGGCACAGCTGTGTGGAGCCGCTGCAGCTGCTTGGCCTGGGTGAGTGTCAAGGGTCTGTCCTGGTGCCGTCAGAGCAGTGCTATTCCTCAGGGCTGCAGAGCAGGCTCGCTGTGATCAGGGCAGCCCCAGGGCCTGGCACCCCCCTGGCACTTCACTGGTGCCCGGGCTCATCTGTAGCATGAGCCCCATTCTTACCCACGTCCAGCTGCGTTCCCTTCCCGAAGGACAGCAAGGTGCTCCCGATGGTCGCGCAGACGTAGAAGCCGCTGTCTGCAGGCTCCACGCGTATGAGGTTGAGAAGGGTCCGGGTCAAATCCCGAGACACGATGAGCTTCCGTTTCAGCTCCTCATCATAGACCGTTCCTTTCCCAGGATCCCAGAAGGCCAGGAACTCGTAGTGGCTGTCCTTGCTTGGGGCCCGGCGCTGTCTCAGCCAGTAGATGCGTGTGTTTGCAGGGAAGGTTCTAGCCTCACAGTACAGAATTGCCGTTTCGTTGGTTTGAACCATTATGAACGCAGGGGTCTGATGGAGGGCTGAGCTGCCGTGGAGAGCTATGAGAAACCAGAAGGAACGCAGGCCATCAGCACAGTGTTCTGGCCACCCTGTGGGGCCTCAGAGTCACACTGAGTCAAGTCTCAAAAGAAAAACTGTGGAAGAACCTGCCGAGTTTCGAGGCCAGGACTGCAGGATGCCACTGACGGCTCCTGGTCTCGGAGCTCCCAGGAAAACATCTCCAGGCCGGTGTTTGCCATGCCCAGCCTGATAAAGGGCATGGAGACAGTTTCCCTTTGCTGATTGCATGTTTCTACTTCAGAATGTTCGTGGAAACATGGAACTAAAGTACGAGTTTATTTTGGTGCAAAAAAAAAAAAGTAGTGCATAGTTTTTTCGTAATACACATTTTTCTTGAGCTTTTTGAAGACCCTCTCCTATGCTGGTGATTTGCACACATGATCTCAACCAAGCCTTGAACTTCGTAGTGGCTGTCCTTGCTTGGGGCCCGGCGCTGTCTCAGCCAGTAGATGCGTGTGTTTGCAGGGAAGGTTCTAGCCTCACAGTACAGAATTGCCGTTTCGTTGGTTTGAACCATTATGAACGCAGGGGTCTGATGGAGGGCTGAGCTGCCGTGGAGAGCTATGAGAAACCAGAAGGAACGCAGGCCATCAGCACAGTGTTCTGGCCACCCTGTGGGGCCTCAGAGTCACACTGAGTCAAGTCTCAAAAGAAAAACTGTGGAAGAACCTGCCGAGTTTCGAGGCCAGGACTGCAGGATGCCACTGACGGCTCCTGGTCTCGGAGCTCCCAGGAAAACATCTCCAGGCCGGTGTTTGCCATGCCCAGCCTGATAAAGGGCATGGAGGAGACAGTTTCCCTTTGCTGATTGCATGTTTCTACGAGGGACTTCAGAATGTTCGTGGAAACATGGAACTAAAGTACGAGTTTATTTTGGTGCAAAAAAAAAAAAGTAGTGCATAGTTTTTTCGTAATACACATTTTTCTTGAGCTTTTTGAAGACCCTCTCCTATGCTGGTGATTTGCACACATGATCTCAACCAAGCCTTGAACCGGCTTTAGGATCTGTGTTCTCATTGCACAGATGAGGAAACCGAGGCACGGAGCTTATGAAAGTCAAACAGCAAAGGAGCTCACTGCGTCCTGGCAGGCACAATGGCGCCCATCACTCCCCAACCCAGCCTGTGATCCGTCACCGGACCCCCACTCCCCAGGGGCAGGACAAACACCCTAGAAACAGGGCTGGGAGTTCATTTTAGCCTCAGACAGGTACACCGACAAGAAGGGTTCATGAGGTGCCAGGCCAGGACTCACAGACCTGGCCTTAAACCCAGCCCTTGCCCTGTCACCGTGCCTGTCTCTGCCCTTGAAAAGAGGGCGGTGTGGTGTTGTAGTCCTGCGTGCCTCTGAAGGCTAGAAAGAAATGAAACAATGTCTGAGGAAGCGCCCTGCACACTGGAGAACCCTGTGCACGGTAAATGCTGTCCCATCTCTGGGCTTGTCACTAGCAGCATGTCACATCTCCGGGAGGATCAGAATGGGTCCTCTTCACGGCCAAGGCTGCACAGGCTCCAGCAAAGTCGATCTGACCTGGTGAGCCTTCTGTTTTGACTATGGGGCAGGAGACCCCGCAGACCAGGGCAGAGACCAGGGGAACTGGCGGGCTTTGTTTATTGCCCACATTCCCAATCCTGCCTGGACTTGCGGCTCAGGGTCCACGGCCCCAGAGAGGCCTTCTCTGACACCGAGGAAATGAACTGTAACTTGGTGACTCCGCTCTGCAACCGCTCTGAGCTTCTGCTTGCATGGAGAATGACAGGGTATTAGGCCGCCCGAGTGACTGCGAGGCCTTTTCTTTTTTGTTTTCCCGAATACCCTACTGCCTTTTCAGGGAGCAGAGGCTTTTCATTGTTTGGGGTTATTGATCTCTTGAGAGCGTCTGTAAAATCAATCATGCCAACATTTATGGAGTTGTGCTGGGCATGGCGCATACATTAACTCTTAATCCTCACCAAATTCTGTCGGGGAGGCAGTGTTTTATACCCGTTTTACACATGAGGAAACAGAGGCTCAGGTAGGTTAAAGACATGTTTGAGGTCACTCAGCCTTTATGTGCTGGGTCCCTATTCTGGGGTCATGATCTACAATCTTCTCTCAGCAATTACTTTCTCTTGAGCACATGGGGAGGGGGGTATAAATACACAGACTCCCCAAGCTCCTCTAAGAAAGCCCAGAGGTGCCTTCTCAAAGGGTAGGGCCCTGTCTTCGAGGGTACAGTTCCCCCTCCAGGCTGAGACACACCCTGCTTTCTCTCTCCTGCCTGAAATCTTTTCACCCTCTAGGGATTGAACCAACACCTGGCCTTGGCCAAGCCCCTGCCATTTGTTGGCCACGAGCCAGGCCTCATCACACTGGCCGAATCCTTAGGGCCTCTCAGTAACCCTTCTCAGGGGGATCTGATGTTTCTGGAGTGATCGGCAATAACTCTAGCTACTTCCAGTGGCCTAGACCACGCTGTTGGGCTGAATGGGTCAGAGCCGGGGGCCAGCGCGTCCTGTCACCACCTGGCAGAATGACCGGCTTTGGGCTTTTGGGACAGGACAGCAAGTCAGCCCAGCTCAGTGGGTATTCGGGGCGGTGCCGGCTTCTTCTGGAAGGCAGTCGGCTGGGCTGAGCCCAAGGACAGCCTAGGCCTCTGCGTACGTTTGAGTCTGACATTCAACTGCCACGCTGCTTCTAACCAGAGTCTCGCTACCCAGGACACCCAGCACCCCGGAACACAGGGGACCCCAAAGGTGTCCCATAGCTGTCTGAGAACTGGCAACGGCCTCTGTTTGTGGAGTTGGGCTACGACGCTTCCCCGGAAGTAATAAAAATGGGTCTAAAGAACCCTCGGCCTGGACCAAGCATGGGGCTGGACGGCCACACTGACCTCTGGGACCTTCCTGGAGCACATCCCTTAGGGACCCTGAGGAGGACGTCTTCTCTTCCTTTCTGGCCGTTTCCCTCACTCCTCTCCTATTTCTCCCCTCTTTCCTTCTCTCCCTCCCTCCGCCCCCCCTTTCCTGCCTCCCC